ATATAACATGTGGAAGTGTCAAGATAGACCCGAGATGGACTTAAGAGGGAGTTCAAGGAGTCCAAGATGGAATTCAAGTTGGAGTCTAAGATGGACCCAAGATGGAGTCCGAGATGGAGTTCAAAAAAGAGTCTGAGATGGAGTCCGAGATGGAGCTAAAAAAAAAGTCTGAAATGGAGTTTAAGTAGGAGTTCAAGATGGCATCTAAGATGGAGTCCAAGAATGAGTCCAAGATGGGAGTCCGAGATGGAGCTCAAGGTCAAATTGTGGTCAGGGGATAACCACTCATAAATGACTAGCCCAATCTTTGGGAGATAGGTTTATAATATAAGTGGTCTTGGATTACCAATGAGACAAAGATGAATGAATATAGCTTTAGTGTAATGGGCTAATATGTCAATGGTATCTTTAGATGTCTGTAGTAGGATTAAATATATGAAGCACTTGGACCGAATACAAAAGGTTGAGTGGCATAGATGTCATTTATGGGGCTAGTATGTCCCTAAATTGGGAGTAGGACTTATGAAGGTTGTGAGTGAGAGTCCTCCAAGTGGTCAAAGGTGTGGTTAAATGCGTAAAGTAAAATGGAAAATTTAGTCGCTTACACAAGTATATACACAAGTTTTACAAAATGTTAATAAAATGCTAATCAAACATTCCCAACTTGATCTACTCTGACATATTTTGCTCCGCACGAAATAAAAGGCTTTAAAAACAAACCCTAAATTACATCACTGACTTAAATAGCCCTTGACAAAGACAATGCAATTGTTAGAAGGCATCATTATAATCGTTAGCATGTAAATATGCATTTAAAGACATTTGGGAGAATGTTTTAATCCTCATGAATAGTTGCATTTAAACCATTGTACCATTGTAGTGCCATCCCTTAGAGACACGTTAGAAACTTATGCAAATTCCAAGCATCATCCCAAAAGTGATATATGGCAATCATTGTAAAGTGATTGAACTAATGGTACACGTAATCCTTATGAAAGAACTCTAACCAAACATGAGGATTGATAGCAAAAGTAAGAAGAGCTATACCATGCACTATGAATGTTGTTATCAATTAAGTTTTATTGTTCAACTACAACTACATAGCATTAAGTATTTATACTAACTACTACTCTAGAATCAAAAGAGGAGGAGGCTATTGCTCTGCCATAAAAATGAATTAAAAGATAAAAACAAAAGAGAAGAAATTGAAAATGTTATAAGAAAAGGGAGATTTAAATGATACAAAAGTTAGATCTAAAACAAAACCCCAAATCCAAGCACTCCTAAGGGACAATCAAAGTTGCCCCTCATCTCCATTAATGTGAGTGCATAAAATATGAAAATTAAATATAAAAATATGCATATTAATCACCCTAGCTTATATATGGGGAAGTGCGTGTTTGGATCCAAGGACACAAGTTATCTTGGGTACCGTATTTCTCGTGTGGGTTTGCAAGTTAATCCTGACAAACTTATGGCTATTCTAAAGTTCCCTACTCCAAAGTGTGTGAATGATGTGCAGCGCTTCTTGGGCAAGGTGCAGTATCTCAGGCATTTTGTGGATCATCTTTCTGATCGCACTGCACCATTGTGAGCGTTGCTGAAGTCATCAATATCATCTTTCATTTGGTCTCCGGATTATGAGCAGGCGTTCGGGGATCTCAAAAAGTTATTAACAACTCCTTCGGTTTTGGCATATCCTAACTACACTCGACCTTTTATTTTGCACATGGATGCTTTTGACATTGATCTTGGAGGTGTGTTAATGCAAGAGAGCTCGAGTGTGCCTGGTTAGTGCCATCCCATTGCATATATAAGCCGTACATTACAACCAGCGGAGATGAACTACTCCACAACAAAGAAAGAGTGTTTAGCTGCAGTTTGGGGTTTTGAGAAACTTCATGCATATCTACATGGTTCTCGGACGTTACTTGAAGGTGACCATGCTGCTGTTACTTTGTTATTTAAGTGAAAGAACCTGGTTGGTCATACTGCTTGGTGGGCTTTGAAGCTTTAGATATATGATATTGATGTTGTTCACCGCCCAGGGAGTTCTATGGCTGATGCTAATGCCCTTTCTCAAACTCCTCTTCCTTCTTCATTCTCTTCTCATGTTTCTGACAAGCCTATCGTTCTAGCATCTGTGGATTTTCTAGATGAGGATTCTATGCTGTCGGCAGTTGCTGTACTTGACGTTCAGTGTCCACAAGGTGCAAAGCAAGATCTAGCTTCGCTTGATGAGGTTCGCAAGGCTCAAAAGATTAAGCCATGGATTTGAAGGCTTCGAGATGGGTTTGAGAATTTTACACCACTTGCTGATGACTTACCTTTCCGGCATTTACATTCTCAATATCGTCTTGAAGGTGGCCTTCTTTATTTTGTGGGGACAGATCCTGATGATCATTTACAGCTGGTGGTGCCTTCTATCTTTATTCCGTGGTTTCTCCATGTCTACCATAATTCTCCTGTTCTAGGTGGGCATATGGGACATCGTCGTGTAATCGAGAAGCTACGCAAGTCTTTCTAACCGTCCTTCCGCAGCCCGAGGGGGAGTATTACGAGCTTGGCACCAAACGCAGCTACGCACATACCGGATAATATCACGTTACATCTCCAGCCAACAATTGCAATTTCCCGTCCATTTGAGTTGGTGGCATTTGATCTTATGGGACCTTTTCCACGGTCAACTGCTGGCAATGAGTATGTTATTATTGCTTCTGACTATTTGACTTGTTGGGTGGAAGTTGGTGCTCTTGCTAGCACCTCTGCAACTGCTGTTGGATACTTCCTCCTCAATCGAGTGGTGTTCCAGCATTCTTGTTCAGAGCGGATTCTTTCGGATAATGGTCCCGCATTTATGGCTGAGGCATTTCATGTTTTGACGTCTCGGTTGGGGATTTGCCACACTGTCACGAGTGCTTATCATCCACAATCAGATAGTCTGGTGGAACGGCTTGTTCGGACGTTCAAGGGGATGATTGCGAAGTATGTGAACTTTCAGCATTCGGATTGGGATGGTTATTTGCCGTCTCTTCGGTATGCATATGTCACTAGGGTGCAGAGTCCTGTTGGTGCTTCACCATATAAACTCCTATATGGTCATGATCCAATATTACCAATGGAGCTAGGTTTACCTTCGTGATTGCCACGAGCTGCGGATGCTAAGTCATGGGATTAATATTTGACAAGCATTCTTCCACTTATCCGAGCGGAGTCTACTGAACACTTAGGCCGCGTACAAGTAGGACAACAACGGCGCTACAACTCCTATCATCGTCCACCTGCAGAGTACAAAGTGGATGATTTGGTGTTAGTCCGTTTTCCCCATCTTACGGTACGTGGTTTATCTAAAGGGCTCCTTGCACAGTGGAAAGGACCATATTGGGTGTTGCGGCAAGTTGGACCACATTTATGAGGTTCGGCATGACGTCCAACAGGCCGATCTTCTAGAGATTGTGCATGTGCAGCGGTTGAAACACTTCATACAAAGGGATCAAGAGCAGTTAATACCATCTATAAATCCGCCGATGCCTCCTCCTGATGTTCCTCCAAATCCCGGCCTGTCTACAAGAGAACCCTGATGGTCTTTCATTATTCCGAGAGGAGGGGATGATGTGAGGGCCAAGTGTATGGCTACGATGCTGTATACTAATATTAGCGTAGTGGGATTTTGGTAGTTGGATTAGTTTCAATCCGGACCACTCGCTCTTGTATATAAGCTAGGGTTTTTGGGCTAATTGATATGCACATTTATGTATTCCCTTTCCATATTCCAAGCACTCACAACTTGTAATATATATAAAAACTAATACTCCAAAAAACTGAAAAATAAATTTAAATATAGATAATCACAATGAATAAATATTGATCTTTTATTTGTAAGAACCACTATATATATTACTATTAACTAAAGTACTTCACAACAAAATAAACAAGATAAATATTATAAATTTAAGAAAAAACTTTAAAGATAAAAAGTTTTACATTTATAAAACAAATTAATTATAAATTTATAATATAATTTTTGTTTTTTTTTATGTTATTTTTAAAATAAAATAAAATAATCTATTAAACTATTATTTTTCCTATTATATATTAGCATAAGGAAAACAACTTTACATAATTAGTCATTTAAATTTCATTTACCTTATAAATTTCCAGATGAAGTCTTTTAAGCTGAAGATAAATATTTTTATAGTTAATTTATTTTTATTATTTTTTAGTTCTACTTCTATTGAACGTTTTATTATTAATAGAATAGGATACTCTATCTATCCATCTTGTGCATCAAAAGATGATAATATAATCCCAGGTAATTTAAATGATAGACAAAGATTTTCATTCAAGTTTGGAACAAGATGGATTGGTCGTACTCAATTTTGGTGTGATTTTAAAATTAATGATGGACCTTATAAAGAAAATTCAATAAGTTTTTCTGTTTATGTTCAAAATAGTAATAATGAATATGAAGAATCGGAGTATATAGAGTATTATATATTTGGATATGGAATTTTTGAAACTCATAAACATTATGGAAGAGAATGGTCTATACCTAAGAAAAGATTTAATTTAGAATTTTCATAATTTATTTATTTCTATATACTATTTCACTAGTTTAGTTGTGTTAAATTTTAATTAGAAAAGTTTAATAAAAATATAATTCTATATTATTATAGATTTTATTAAATTTTTTATCATATTTAAAAATTGGTATCCAAATATTATCTTATAATCTCAATATCCTGATTTATGATTGAGTAGAAACATACACCTCCTGCACTTTATTATATTATTGACAATGAAGTAGACATGGCTACATGTCTACTCATAAACCTCTCATTTTTTAGGGTTGCTAATCACACTGAGCAAAAGAGATGTACTCATACTCTAATTGACAACCTCTCATTTTATAATGTTTATATTGCTAACATGCTAAGGTTCAGAGCATAATGAGCACACGACAGCAAAAGGATTAGTGAGACAAGAAGTACAATGCAATGTTAAGATAAAGACTATTATTGTAAAAACATTGTAATCTTACATTCACAACAATTTATAGTGGTTTGAAAAGTATCATTGTTTCTTCCTGGGTCTCCCTATTCAAACTTAATCAAGTTTATCTTACAATAACTTACTTAAATGTTGTTTAGGATGTTCTTGGATGAAGTCAGACGCGAAAATGACGCAATAAATCGGCTCTAAACAAAACAAACGAGAAAGACAAAGTGAAGCTCTGCAGCATATCAGAAGTGTCCGAAGTTACCATTTGAAACAAGACCATGGTCCACCAGCAGCTGCTTAGGCCGAAGCCAAGCTTGTGAAATACCTGTTCATGCAAATGTGTATGATTCTTAAACCAGGTGATGTTTGCTTTCTTACCAGCATAAGTACAGTTCCACACACAAAAGCAAATGCCATGTTAATCCCCAGAAAATTCAAATCCCCGCTAGCCTGTGAATGCCAACGTTATTTAAACCCGATAGTTATCTCAGTACATGCAAATTATACCAGAAGCGTTCCTTCGAGAGCGAGGGCTGGCGGAGTCAGCGCTATGCTGAAAAAGAACGGTGTGACGACGGTGTGCATCTGCGGTGCACCAGAGAGTATCATATCAGTTCCATAGCATGATAATCATCGCCCACCTTTTCTATGATTGCGGAATCATTTGTAAAGAGCTGCGGAAGGAAGACTGGAATCGAAATGCCTACAACCGCTGAAGCTATTCCTAAAACCACGCCGCTGGCGAGGAGCTTTTGTAGCAGCCTTCGTGCCTGCAAAGGATGGAGGAAAAGTTAGGTCAAGAACACAAACGAGATGCACGAGACTTGCCTGTTTATGTTGGCCACCACAAAGCAGTCCGGGCATGAAAGACTGTGCAGTCTGAGCCAGGGGTTCTCCCCAGACCGAAAACAATGAAAATACCCCAACCATAACCTGTCAGGCATCTAAGTCATGCGAAAATGAGTAACCAGGAAAAAGATGTTGTGATCGACCTGATGAGCAGCTAGAGTCACCGCGCCTAGTGAAGTTGCAAAAAATGTGATACTTGTGTAAAAAGCTACCTACAGGATATAATGTTAATGCTTTGGAGCTCACTGTGTCACACTTACCTTGGACAGCATCGTCAAAAGGACCGGACCCGTTATTTTGATCATTTGAGCGAGGTCTTCCATGCGAGGGACTTTGATCGCCAGGGGATCATAGCCCTTGTCTTTCAGTGACTTTAGCGTCAGGAACCCCCCAACATACTGCAAGCACAAAGTATCAGAACAAGCTTTCAAACTTTATCATCAAGTGCTAGATAAGTTTGCGAACCTGCGCTAGCATTGTCGCCCAGGCCGCACCAGCAATACCGTATCCAAGAAATGTGCACAGCAGGACGTCTCCTACAGCGTTGATGAGGCTTACGACTGCTAGCACTTTGAGAGGGCTTACCGAGTCCTGCATCCCCAAGCTAAGGAAAAGAAGAAGAAGAAGAACCTTAAAACGTTTGCATGGCTGATAAGAATGATCAAGAGTGCACATACCTTGCACCTTGCCCAACCATCGTAACCAGCACTGCCGGCCAAGCGAAAGCTCTAATCTGAAACATTGCTCAAGCCATAATTTCAGAACATAAAACCTTTTGCGGATCTTACATCAACGTAGCACGCGGCCGCAGGAATAACCGCAGTGTTTCCCCCAACAAACGCTGCAAGAACACCGATTTTGCTATCGTCTTAAGAACACCTCGAGAGACGTACCATGAAGCATCGTTCTGGACGAAAGCTTGATCACAGTGAACATCACCACGCCACAGGAAACCGCAACGAACAGAAACCTCGCTAGATGGTTTGCTGCCTCCGTTTCGTCCTGGGATGGCGAATTCACGCCGAAGATAATGCTCATCAAGCAACACTTCCGTGAATACCTTTTTCGCAAGCGATATTGCCACAAGATTTGAGATGGCAACTGACAAGAACAGGAAACAATAGCCCAGCCCATCGCAAACCACCGTTCCAGGTCCTGGAAAACGAGAGACCATGGATGAAACAAGTATATGGTTTGAACTTTACGTACCAAGAGCGGCCAGTTCTATGGAACTCGTGATGCCGACCACGCTCGTATCTATCAGACTCATAATCGGACCAGATAGCCATATCCCCAGAGCTGGACCTGCAAATGCAAAGATCTGGCGCATTTCCTCGACCAGATTCGTGCTATCATCGTCTTGAAGGAAAGCCGGTGCTTCAGGTGCGTTATCTTCGAGAATAGTAGCAGTGCTCGCAACCTTGAGCAGTCCTTCTGTTGCTTCGATGGCGTTGTCTCCAGAAACGTAATACTTGACAGGATCATTGCTCGCTGGAGGCAAATCCCTCTCTGCCAAATCCCTCTCTTGGAATTCGGCAGTGGTGGCATTCTCCGGCTCGAGACAGCGCCACCGCTGCTTACCTCTCACTCTGACCAGAGCAATGCGATTGAGGCCACAACGCCGCGATCGCCCATCTGCAAATCTATGCAAATGGGATGCGAATTCCGCCCTAGCGGTCCAGAGACGCAATGGGGCACACTCCATAGCTATCGAATGGCTCTAGCGATAGAACAAAGAAAAAAATCACTGAAAAGCTGTGATCCGAGGTGAGATTCACTGAAACCACTATGAGCGCTCTTTAGCCTCGTCCAAGCTGACAAGGAATTGCCACTCGATCAGACAAATGTGTGAAAGACGTACCGCCATTGAAACTCAATCCCGGATAAGGCACGTGTACAATACGTGGCATGCGTATCTATACACACACACAAAGTGTAAGTTGGTTAGAAAAAACAAGGAGAAACTCGTTTCTCTTGAGCTTTCTATTGAGAAATTCTTTTACAGTGCGAGTGTCGCGCTCTTGGGACAAGAATTCTATCATCACCGTGTTTCACATGTAAATAACTATGCAAGAAAACACAGAAATATCGATATGACAGACGAGCAAAACAATGCATAGTATAGTTGTTCAGCGACACAATCTCAGAATCATCAACGCGGAAAATCCTGTAACTATCTGAAAGAAAACTTATTTTTCCCTGAGATCTCGATTGGTTGCTAGAGAGTAGACAAGAAGCGCGCACGTTGAGAAGCGACTTTTCCTATGTGGAGGTGGACGACGTCTATCCCCGACTCAGGCCCGAAATCTTTCACTGTTAAAGAGTTCAAACGGATGTAGATAAGAAAGCAAAAATCGAAGAGCATGAGATAGTACCTCTTGATTCGGAAGCTTTTGTCGAACTTCGCGAGGTGATGATGATTGGCCGGAAGCGGATGAACCTGGACCCGAACAGCAGCCAAGTCACTCACGGTCTTCATCGAGTATCTCTTAAGTCGATTTTAGAAGCTAGTTCAGGATAATCCGCGCGCATGGCCGACTTTCTTGACGACTGAGAAACTACCTACTGGCTTTACACCGTTTCGTCTCGTTTATGGTCTTGAGGCTATACTTCCGATCCAATTATGTATCTTTTCCAGCCTCAGCGCAGATCAACTTGCGCGAACCTCCGTTTGCCTTGAGGACGCGATTTGAGGTGTGATATCCCCAGCTTTATAGTCAGATCCGCTACAACTGCTCCCAAGAAATAAGAAATGGGATCCTCGAGCCTGGAACACCAAAACGACAACAAATTGTTATTGTAAAGAAAATTTGCCTTGGTTTGCTGGTCGGCAGCAGTGCAAGATCTAGCCTCCGCCCATTTTATGATGCTATCAGTCACCGCAATAATGTAAGCGTGACGATTAGAAGCCAAGGGATATGGACCCGAATAGTCCAAACCCAAGTGCGGAAAGGGACCCTCCGGCTCAATATGAATGGCGGACTGCTTGAAACCGTTGACAAGAATGGCAATACTGCAGAGCCTGTCTATAAATGTAGCTCACAGAATTTTCTTGCTCGTGTTCATCGCTGCGAAATGACCTCGGAGAATTTTAAGCAAATCCTCATACCAAGGACGTTAAACTAGGAAGACTGGACTGGTGGTTGCTGAGCCGCAAGCTGATCATTCGGCGCGTATGGTGATACTAAGAACGTGTCTTGTTCTTGTTGGTCAACAACTTGGAGTTGAAGGATCCAGTGTGCGTGTTGGCCCTGTAGTACTGGTCTACTCAGCAGATAAGAAAGCCGAAATGTGAAGTTGGAATGGCGGTCTTCCTTCGATCTCAAGTAATGGTGAAGCTTTTGAAAAGCAAAGGCGATGGCCATGCAATAACGACCAAATCGAAATTTCGCCAGCTCCGGTTTTCAAGATTTCAACCAGTAAAATAAAGAGCCGACAGTGCTATCGAGGAGAAGGCACGTGAAATACCTTGACATAAAGTGATATTGATGATCTCCTGATGTACAGCCACAAAGAGGTGGAATTGTTAAGTGAAATCTAGTGGCTCAAGCGCAATGGAAGAGCATCTAGTAAACGTTCATATGCTTGTTGACACATAAAGAGAGCAGAAGATCATAAAAGATTATAAAGCAACTTGGGAATATTAAGGGGAAATGGAGCATGGCAAAGTTGCTCAATCTTGGGCTTATATATCTCAATTCCACGAGCACTAACAAGGTGTCCCACTAGTTTGCCGTCAGAAACAGAAAACTTGGCGGAGTTGACTGATACGAATATCATAAGAACTCCCAGTTACACGATTATGAGTCGTGGAATGTGAATACCATAAGACGTTGAAAAGATGCAGGACCGTTCATAAAATCTTCAAGGTGTCTGGAAAACGGCCTTCAGTTGATCTCTGGATTTGATTGTAGCCTGAGTAAGGAACATCATGAATATCCAGAATAAATAGAATAATCACGAATAGTCGCAATTGCGTATGTTGCCATTAGCTTTACGTATTGGAACAATGGAAGATACTTAGTCAGCCACCTCCATAGGACAGATAAATTTTATTTGAAAGAGTTACAATTCTTGCTTGATAAGCGGCTCCAACATGGGATTGATCTTGCAAGCTGCTTGTTGAACCAGGATCATGCCTTAGATGTAGAATAACACTGGGATCCACACCTTTCAAGTTGTGATAGTACATCCAAGAACTCTCGAAAAAGAGACTAGGAAGGATGGTGGTGCAATATTCAACTTCGTTAGAAGGTTCCTTCCCCAACAAATGATAATGAGAATATAACTTATCCAGAGGAAAATAATAAAACTTCTGATAGTAGAAGAACAGGAGAAGAAAGTGAACCGTGTGTAATCCACAACGCCAATTCCAATAATTCTATGCCTAAAATATACTTGGATTAAATTTATATTTATAGTTTATAAATATGTTTATATTTTATAAACTTTCCTAAACACTTCCTAATCAAAATTATTACTTTTTATAAATTACAAATATTTTATAATTATTGATTAATTGGATTAATAAATAATAATAAATAAGAAGTAAATATTTATTTATTTTTCCTTGTTAAAAAATCATCATTCTATAAAGTTAAATTTCAGGCCATAAAACTCTCCTCGCTTGTACACCCGTGATTTCCATCGAGAAATCATCCAGCTTAGCATGGGAGCAAATCCACAAGCGTGCGATTGTCCACAAACTTCCACTCATACTTTGCTTCCATCAGAATAAACACAAACGCGAATGTCAATTCCTGACTGTCATGTCCATCGTGGTTTTTTTCACGCTTCTCGCATTGTCTGCTATCGGAGAGATTCACACCATAGTGATCTACACAGGGTCAATGTCTATCCATGCATGAAGGATGGTGAAGGGGATAAGAAAGACAAAATCCACGTTGGTTGTCGATTCAGACGCGAAATTCTATTGCTTGAAGCTTGCGTGGAGATTTTCATCAAGTAAATTCATTTTCCATGATTCCGTTCACAGATGCCTTGTAGCTGTGTGGGACTAGACAAAGTGGCTACCATGCTTCGCAGGAGAAATTTGTACAAAGACTTAAATCCTTCCAAGTTTTCCATTCTTCTTGTGGTGATTGAGCCGGACTAAGATCTTCTCACGGCCATGGCGGTGGTGCTCATGGTATGCTTGGATTCGCGTGGTCTTGGGGCCCGTTGGTGTGGCTGGTCGCCAGCGAGATCTTCCCAGTCGAGGTTCGCTCCACAGGCCCAGAGCATGACCGTGTGCACCGATCTCTTTTCACTTTAGCCATGGTCCTTCCTCAAGTATAAACTCTCATCCTTTACACGGAACTCCTCGTCCCCATGACGCTCTTTGCTTCATTGCTTCTGCCCGAGAATAAAGGAATTCCAATCGAAGAGTTGAGTGGGTTGTGGAAGAGGCATTCTGGAAGAGATTTGTATAGCAGAGAAAAAAAAAACAGGATTGACTATGTCAAGCCCTTGACTAACATTTAAGAATTTTTGTTGACTCAAAACTCATTCGACATACGCGGCCGTTGTTTCGGCGTGCTCCCCTCAAACGTTTCGACAAGGCAAGGCTGTTCACAGGAGGATCATCGAGTGTCAACTGGAACGACTGCCGGATATTGTCGTCGCGCTTGTCAACATGTACATAGTTTGAGTTTTTTCAACATTTAAACTCAGTAATGTACTTAAGAAATTGTAAATAAAATTTTATTCACACACTGTAAGTAAAGTTTCAATATTTGTTCAACAGAATATAATACGATATATATCTAAACTTGAGTCAATGTTGTGGTTATAATTACTATCTAAGTTGTTAAAACAGAAATCAATTCACATTTAGTATTTCTATGAGAAATCTGTGATTATGATCCTTCTCTGTCGCTCGAGACATTAAAGATTAAATAAAATGTTTTGGTTTAGTCATCAAAACAATTTACAAATCCTAAACCACTAGTATTTCTATTGTAATTCTTTTAGGGAAACCCTTTTCATGCCTATTATTGAAAATTTACTATTAATAATTTATTTTTGAGAAAGTGAGGAACTATACTGTGGTGTTCAACACAAATCCATTTAAAGTTTGTAATAAGCAAAACTGTTAATTATGTTTAAGGATATTCTTGGTATATTATCATTATAGAGTGATGGGATCATGTTATAATCATATAAAGTTTTACATTTTAACATTTATACCAATAACAAATTCTTAAAACTCTGTGAAGATTTATTTATGTGTGATTCAAATTGTGATTGATGATTGTGATTTTATGATTGATATTCCATTTATGATTCATATATGTGATTCAAATTGAACCAATATTTTGGCCATCTTTTGCAAGGCAAGACCATGAGTGTTTGTCTTGTTTTCCAGCTTACCTTAATAAATATTCAAATTCTGAAAGAAAAATATATTAATATAATATTTTTATATATACAAATTCTGCAGAACAATATAGTTATCTCACCTTAAGTAATAGTTTCTTCACCTTTTCAATCCAATGGTTTATGATTGTGATTTTCTGGTTCTTCTCTAATTCATTTGTAATTTTCTTTAAATATTATAAACTAATCTTAATATTATAAAAACTAGACTAAGCTATCAAGTTTTTTTTATCCATCAACATAGCTTGTTGTTAATAACAAGATATACTAAAATTTATTGTATAGGGCATTAAATTATTTATTCTAACAAAAAGCTCTTGACAGTAATTTAAAAATATAGAGTAGATTACAATATAAATGCCAAAGTAGTATATATAAATTTTGTGAGTGCATGGAATATAAAAATAAAATATAAAAATATACATATCAATTAACCCAAAAACCTATACAAGAGGTCTGAATTTCAAAATCCCATTATGCTCATATTAGTATTTGATATCATAACTGTACACTTAAACCTTAAATCATTCCCTTCTCTCAGAATGATAGAAAATAATCAAAGTTCTCTAGTGAATGGGCTAAGATTTGGAGGAATATCAAGAGGAAGTATTAATTAGTATGTAAGTGGTGCTAATTGTTCTTGACAACCACTACATATATATAATTTTTAGAGGATTAACTTGTTAGATGTTATATTAAACTTTATAAACTTGTGGTCCAATTTGCCATAACACTCAATATGATCCTTTCCACTAAACAAAAAACCCCTTAAACAAACCATATAGCATAAGATTGGAAGAATAGACTAATACTAAATCATCTATTTTGTACTTCATAGATGGATGATGATGATAGTTATAATGCCATTGTCGTCCCATTTGTACACGACCTAAATTTTTTACAAACTTTGCTTAGATTAATAAAAGAATGCTCATCAAATAATAATCTTAAGACCTAGCATTGGTAGTTTATAGCAATTGCAAAAGTAAATTCAACTTTGTTAGTAATATCAAATCATGATTGTATAATAGTTTATATGGTGAAGCATCAACAAAACTCTACACCCTTATGATATATATATATATATATTAAAGAAACAATAAATAATTATCTCAATTCAAATGTTAAAAATTTATATACTTCATAATCAAGTCCAAATTAGCCATTCAACTAATTCTATTGAACTCACACTATAGTATCTATTGGACTCATTATCGGACTACCATTTCAAATGAAAAGATCTAGTATATTTCCTCTGTCCTTTTATTGCATTGTCTCCAGAAACATAATACTTCACAGGTTCTTGGAGATAAGTCCTTCTCTTCAAATTCGGCAGTGTCTAGCTCGAGACAGTGCAACCCATGCTCTCATTCTAACCAAAGCAATGCAATTGAAGGGGATCACCCAACTGTAGAGTTCTAGGTGATTTTGATCACTATTTGACCACTAAAAGATTTTAAACTTAACAGCGTGGAACTGAATCATATATTATGCCCAGTATAGTGATTGCTATCGCATTGGGCGGGACTGAATTCAGTCAAGGGATTGACTTAGTCAAAGTCAATACTGTTATTCTCTTTTTTCTCTCCTATACAAATCTCCTCCACAACCAGTGCCTCTTCCACAAGCCACTCATCTCTTCGATTGGAATCCCTTTAGTCTCGGGCAGTAGCAATGCGGCAAAGAGCGTCATGGCGACGAGGAATGCCGCGAAAAGGATGAAAATTCCGTACTTGAGCACGCACAGCATGGAGAGGAAGGACTGCGCCATGGCGAAAGTGAACAAGAGATTGGTGGACACGGTGATGCTCTGGCCGGCGGAGCGAACCTCGAGTGGGAAGACCTCGCTGGCGACCAGCCACGCCAGAGGACCCCAAGACCATGCAAATCCAGAGATGAACAAGCACACCATGAGCACCACCGCCATGGCCTGCATTGGCGTGAGAAGATTCACCGAGTCTTTTAGTCCGAGGCCGAGAAGAATCGCAATCCCAACCTGCAAGAAGAATGGATCAATAAGAAAAACTGGAATTTGGAAGCGAAACATGCTTACTTGAGCGATGAAGAGCTGCACGCCAGCTTCGAGCAAGAGAATTTTGCGTCCGAATCTATCCACGACCACCATGGAGATGATAGTGCAAACTGCGTTGATCCCGCCGATGACCACCGTCGAAACCAGCGAGGCATTGCTGCCAAATCCCACAGTCTCGAACAGCACCGGCGAGTAGAACATGATAGCGTTGATTCCACCAGCTTGCTGGAAGAACTGGAGGCAGATCGCGCAGATGAGCGGCGGCAAGTTTTTCCTCCGGATGATATCTCGGAACGGGTTCTTGATCAAGCTGGAAGCCACGCCAACTTCGACGAGATCGTTAAACTCTTCCTCCACTTGGTCGGTTCCCCGGATCTTCTCAAGCACTTGCTTCCCTTGCGTCAAGTAGCCGCGCTCGATCAGACTGTTTGGCGTTTCCGAGAGCACGAAGCTCCCGAGAGTGAGAAGAAGTGATGGGATCCCTCCCAGAGCGAAGGACAGCCTCCATCCCCACGGATATGCTGCCGTGAAGTAGTTTACTAAGTTGGCGATGAGGATCCCGGTCGTGATGTTTAGCTGGAAGAGGATGTTAAGTCCTCCACGCAAGTGTGGTGGCGCAACCTCTGAAAGATAGAGTGGAGTAGCCTGCGAAGAGAAAACTCTCGATCGATCAGATCAGCCTTGGAGAGGAAATAAGATCGAAGAAAAACGCTCACCTGGTTTCCAAAACCAATTCCACAGCCAAGGAAGACGCGACCGATGATGAGCATGGGAAGGCTTTGAGCTCCAGCATTGAGGACAGTCCCCACGAGATAGAAAATCCCAGCGATGAGCATCGTCGGCTTTCTCCCCAGGTCCCTCGTCGTGTAGGACGCCCCAAACGTGGAGATCAATCCCACAATATAGGTCGAGGACGTGAAAAGCTGAAGAAGCTGGTCATTGTACCGGCAGTAATTCCCAGATCCACTGCTGCCTTTCGATGGATCGCGGCTGATCGACGGGAAGAACTTCGCCAGGAAATCTTTCATTGCCGACACACCGCCTGGAAATCGAGATCGACCGATCAGCCAAAGGAGATTTTAAGGATCTTGCGATCGATCACTCACCAGAGATGCCGATCACATAGCCAAACATGAGGCCGCTGCTGGCAGCGATGACGCAGGCGATCAAGACGCTGGATGTGAATTTCTTCTTCTCCCTCTTGATGAGCTGCTCCTCTTCGCATCCTTCCAGCGTTCTTCCCTGGTCGTCCGCCATAACCAAAACCTCGATCAAACTAAACTTTTTTTCCAGCTTTATATTCCCGCTAAATGGATAACGCTTACTAAAAATATTCGGGCATATTTTCTGTGATCCGATTCTTGGAATATGCTGCCTTTTTCTTTTTTACTGGCAACGGCTTTCTAGGGTTTATGCTCGGGGTCGAGGATTTTGGAGCATGGCGGACGGGCCCTCTCGATCCGTGGTGATATTCGGCGATGGATTCCTGCCGCACGTCGCCGCGCAGCACTCGAATCTCCATTCTCTGGCATCCGATGGCTGCTGCGGGTTTCTGGCGCTTCGATCGCCGGGTAAGCGCTTGTGATTTTGCTTTCCCCTCCGTCTAGCATGTAGAAACAAGAAATTCTTGATTTCAGCAGCTGCTTCCGATGGAAATCGAAGCGCCGAGGCTTTGATCCAGCTGCTCGATCTCTACGATGCTGACAAGGTGGCATTTTCTTTATGGAGATTTTTTTTTGTGTTCTTATGCCTTCTGTTCTACTCTAATCAGGAGGGCAAGAGCTTCCAGACTGTGTCTGAAAGGTAATAATCTTCGCAAAGGTGTCTATACTTTTTTTGTTGCTATCTTCTTTCAGATTTATGGGAATGAATGCAGCACTCGTGACGAATTCCGAGCAGGCCGTTGCTGTTGGCAGTAAAGCAGGATTCGTCGTTAGTCGTTTCCAAGACTTGCATGAAGGAATTGGTGCCGAAGATATGCCTTCTAAATTTCTAGGCATGGTTGGAGTTGGCGACTCCGCGGGAGGAAAGCCTTTCGACTTGCTTTTCCTACACTTGGTGGCTGACAACGATCTGGAAAAGTCGCCAGCAATTTCTACGGAGTGGATGGATTCTCTGGTTGGGAAACTGAAGAACGCTCCTGCAAAGAATCTCCTCCTGGTGCTTATTCTTGGGTACGGGAACGCTCTTTCTGAAGTGGAAATCCCCGAGTTCATCGATCAGCAGCTACGTCAGCTTCGTCCACGGCAAAGCTACTCAATCAAAGGCGGAAAACCTGTAGAGGACATAAGGTAATGTTTTTGTTCGTTTTGCTTTTTCTTTCTTTCTTTTTTAATCTTTCTAACGACAAAAACATGTTTCTGGCAGCAAAGATTGTTCTCTTCTAGCGGTTTTTCACCAAAAGGCAGTGACACGTAGAGACCACTGCACATGTCTTCAGCTCGAAGAGTTTCGCCAGGTACCGTGTGCCTGTTGGCGTTTTATTAAGTGTTCTAACGGCGTGTTGTTTTATGTCAGAAATGCGGGAATCTTACAATTCTGGCAGACAGGTTCCTCCATGAGGTTGCTTTTAAGCTTTGGAAAGCACCAAAGTATGGTGCATAAGAATGGTAACGGTGAGGTAATGTCTGCGTTACCGTTTGCTGAATATAATGGAGCCGATTGCTTGTCAACGAACAATCACAGCTCCAGTTCTTAATTCTAATGACATGTACTCAGATCTTGTGGCAATGATTGTAAAGGTGAGGCTTGTTTCAAGACCCTTTTGACGACCTCTAGGAAGATTGGGCGTTTATCTACAGAAGGGCCGACCCTGCAGAGCTCAGAGATTGCTTGCTGGACTTGTGCAGGAATTTTAGAAGGCTTGTTTGAAAAACAGAACTCAACGAGCACGTTTGATTCAGGTACCAGTTGTTTTAAAAGAAATCCTCAGTCTGTTGTTTGTGCTGCGAAGGCCTTGCAGAGTGGAGGAAAGCATGCGGCCACACACGTCTTGCAGCTTTCGGATATGATCGACGACAAGCCTGGTGAAGCTATTTTCTTTTCCGCTCTGCAACTTTGAATATGGGTGTAGTTATCATACTTTGGCTATGAATTTGAACAGGAAGCGCTTACTCCACACAGCCTTGAGATGAGACAAGCTGTCGACAGCTCTTGAGCACGCATGCACGGAAACGAAGCGATCGGGCATCAAGAATATCATTGTTGCAGGGCAGTAAACAAGTACAGCGGCCTGTCTGCGGTGCCTTTCTATCTCTCAAGCTTAACCAAGATGTTTCACTGGGGAGCCGATCGCGTTCCTTCGCTTTTTTATTCAGTTGGGAAGCCAGGTGAGGAAATTCCTTGCAATCCGTTTTCTTTCAGTTTTTCCCTGGAACATGGGGGTTTTAACATTTTTTTGCAATTTTCATTTTCTATCGCAGGCATGCTGCAAATTGGAGTGAAAGAGAAATTTAGAGGAAGAAGCTGCCGCTGGAAGAAGTTCAGTGACATATTATCTGATGAAGAATATTGCTGACCAAAAGAGGGGAAAAGACACATCCGTATCTGATCCCGATCATCGGGTATCCAAGGTGACGTTGGATTGGACACACTAGGACGACAGTAACAACAACGCTAGACAGCCAAGAGCTCTCGATCGATTTGCCGGAAACGTCAGCACTGGAAGGGGTTATTTGAGAAAGCTTCCAAGCTGCTGGCTGGAACGCTAAAAGGAAAATGATGGCACAGGAGGGTAAGAAGAATGAAAATCATGACGGGGTGGGGAGCAGTGATCAAAGTCTTCAGCTGGAGCAACCGATGAAACTGGGCGACCCGAGCAAGAGGAAGTTAAAACGAGGAAAGAAGAAGATATCTGTCAGAACGGCGGTCGGTTCCCGGCAGCGGCCCACGCGAGAACATCGGGAGGAAGCTGGCAATTGGCTAGAGGATTCTGAGCGAGGTTGAACAAGGCCATGCTGCATGGATCCGAGGTGACTCCGGAAGCCGCCGACACATTATTACTCGCAACCTGGTTGGGGTCCTCGTCCTCGAGCGGAAGTCGATCATAAGTCGCACCAACGAAAGAAGCGGCGATGACGAGCACTGGACTTGCAGCCATTAGAACTCCCACGACGCTGCCTCCCAGGACTTGACCGGGCTGCGATCCAGCCAAGGCCACAGTGAGTCCCGCCACGGCTACAGGCGCGGGAGGAGGCAGGAAGGCTCCGGACAGGGACAGTATCTCGAAGCGGCCATGGAAGGTGACGGTGGAACCGGGTGCTGCGAGCTGCCGCAGCGTGACATTGGCGACAGTACCGCTACCGCCCAGCACGCAGAGCCCGCGCTGCCTTCGTCTAGCAAATGCGGCTAGAGTCTCTCCAACGTCGCATCCGCCGGCAATCTCCAGGACGTGCGGACGCATGGCATTGCCGCTGTCGCGAGTGATGATGATCGGTGGCTTGGGCTTGTTCTTGGAGCCGGGTGGCCGGCCACGGGGCTTGCGGACAATCTCCCCGGCTCCCATCCCGCCGCTGCTGCTGGTGGTGGCCGCCGTCTTCAAGTTCTTGTTGTTACCGCGGGACTTGTCGATGGTGGTGGTGGTGGTGGTGATTCCTCCCGGACCTCCTCTTCCAGGGCCGCTGCTGTTACTGTTCTCTTCCTCGGAGGTGCCGGCCTGTGCCAATGGTAGCGGGCTTACAAACTGGTGGTGGTGGTGGTGATGCTGGTGGTGGTGACCGTGAAGGCCAGGATCCATGCTCTTACATGCCAGCAACCGGGTGCCGAGATGGAAATCTTGACTGGCTCCCTGTCGAGAGGGAATTACTGCTCATCTACTCGACCGACACTAGTGACTTAGGCGCTGTCAACAGGGCCAGATCTGATCTGATCTCGGCCAATTCTTGCCTCCTGCTCAAGCGAAACTGCAGTACAGCGATCGAAGGTGAGAGAACTCTCGCAGAAATCTCTCATTTTCTTTTCTTATTCTTTCTAAAATGCTTGCTCACCCTCTTTCAGTTTCCCTGTTGGAAGATATCAATTTGGACGACGCGAGTCCGCTTGACGCACAGTGGTATTGGCCCGGCAGCGCTATTTTCTAAGCCCAGTGGAGCAACATGAGATGGGGAAAAATAAGCAACAAAGGCAGCCAGCAATCTCCCCGGCAAAGACACAGATGACGTCGATCGAGCAGGCTTAGTGACGGAGAGACATAGATAAAAGAGTAAGCAGCAGGAGCAGGAGCAGCAGCGGCAACAACAGCACCAACAGCAGCATCAAGGGAATAACCAGCAGCAGCACCAGCAGCGGCAGCACACAACAAGAAGCAGGAGAAGAAGTAGAAAAGAAAGGGAGCAAGGCAGACCCACCAAGGGCGAGGCAATCTGGAGCCAAAAAAATTGCGGACACAAGATTTGCGAGGCACCTCCCAGGGGATATTAAATTGGCAGAATAGAGCCGAGCTCGGGGCCGGGGCAAAAGAGCGATGCCACACACACTTATCTTAGCAGCGCTGGTGGTGCGAGACGACGAGCAGTGGTGATTGAGAAAACAAAGACGAAACAAAGGGAATGGGGGGTCGACGGAAATACTAAACAACTGAGCTTATGGACTGGGAGGAGAGAGAGAGAGAGAGAGAAGAGGTGGCTTTAGACGACGATGACGATGATCTCTGCTGTGCTGCGGCTGCGCTGCTCACTCTTGGCCTTGGTGGTGGGGTTCTTAGTATGGGATAGGTGAAGTGGTGGGTGGACCAGGGACGGCGCATGGGGTCCCTCCAGTGATCCATTTACTACGCTCCCCCTCTCCGGCATCACACTGCGGGTACGTTCAATTTACAAAGAGCAGGAGTTCTTCGCGTTCTCACTTTATTTTTTCAGCTGGTCGTCCTGGAATCTCAACTTCGCGGGATCCAAAGTAGCTACAGTAGTGGCGAGCAAGCGGCCAAAACCACCAAAAGGTACGTGTAGACCTCTCTTGGCTATAGTAGTCTCTAGCGAACAACAGCGCTTCTCTCCTTGATCGAGCTCTTTGTTCTAAGAGTTTTTATCGTTTGTTTTGGCTGTGGCAGGAGGAGGTAAACAAGAGCTGGGAAATGTGGACTGGATCTAACCAGTCGCGCAAAGCCCGGCTTTTACCGTCGTGCGCCACCAGTGTAATTACAGCCCGCTCGTGAATGGCCATCCCGAGGCCGCGGCAGGGTGAGGTAAGCCTTTGTTTACGTTTGGAAATGTTTGTTTTTGCGTGGTCTGCGTGGTTGTCTGTCTGTCTGCAAGTGCGTGAGGGTCCGTGCGAATGCCGATCGATGACGATGATCGCCACCGCCCTGTGACTTGTAGACGAGGGAGGCAAAGAGGTTTTTGTTTGCTTTCGCGTTTGTTTTGGTTCGCTCTAATCCAATCCGATCCACTGCAGGGCAGCCGCATTTTCTGCAGTTAGAAACATTGGTGCGTGCGTGGTCTTTGATATACTTCCATCAATTGACACAACTTGTGTGTTTTGTGATCTTTGCAGATCCTATGTTGTCACGCAAAAGAACTTACGCTCATCTCGCGTCGTCATCGTCGGCATTATTGAAGATTGACCAGTATATGATCCATTCGATTTGATCGCAACCGTGGCCGTTGGATCGCCCCCACCCAACGGCTGCCCGTGCCACGCGGGCTTCCCTCGCGAAATTCCAATCGTCTAGTTGTCGGCCGCCAGGCCGACATATACGGCAATCCCGAGGCTTGCGGTATTTACTGCCCAGGTAAATACATTGGCATCGTATGGGACCAATCATCATACGCATGGTATGGTATGGTGGTGGTATCTAGATTCAGAGAAAGAAATGATCATTCTGGTTTTGTTTTCAGGTTGTTTGGAGTAACAAACTTGTTTCCCAAAAGAATGAAGAACCTACTTGCTCACTACTATCAAGTTTTAAATTCAATGATCAAAAGAGTGTGGCTTAACAAACAACTTCTTTTAAACGTCTCTAGCTGTGGACTTGGAAGCTCTTGCTGGTATACTAAATGTACATTATGCACAAGAAAACTAGAGTTCTTCCAAATCCAGACAAATGATAGAGCACATGGAAAAATCAAATTAGGAGTAAGACTATGGTTTGGATTAACACTATCATAGGCAGGTGTGAAATTAATCCATGGTTTGCATTACATGCATGCACGTGCATCCATGTGCAGCCACGTTACATTCCTGGAGCGAAAAGATTATATAAATACGTACTTCTCTCCTCATGCGCTCTGTGTGGCTGTAGCGCTACGTATTTATATACCGTTTGAGCATCGCTCTCGATCCTTCCGAGATGCCCAATGAAATCTGGACGAGTTCTGGGCGATGGGACGGGCATCTTGACTCTCGGCTCTCCATTACCAATGGCGAAAACCGGGCCTCCTTTGCGGTTTTTTCACAAGGTTTAAGAAAAGGCGAGCGATCTTGCAACGAAAATCAAAGTGGTCACGACCTTTTGATCCACTTCTAGCCCGCACTTTAGACCACTCATGCGTAAACTTCCCGAGATCATCGCTTGCGGGATGAATTCATGTGTGACACGCCAAATGCAAATGCAGTGCGGGGAAAAGAATCCCACCGCCACTGTATGTGTGAGAGAGACATGATACCAAGTTGCGATCTCTTTTTTTCTCGTTTTTGGGACTCCTCCTTGTCCATGGATGGTTGTAGACCATGGTGTAATATTTTAATTAAGTGGATGGACGATGTGATACTTTGCTTGGTTGGATCGTGAATGAGAGAGAGAGATCTGCTCTCTGGCCGTCCAAAATCCCTAGCATATAGTGTTGTGTGCAAGCCTGGCCCCTAAACTCCCATGGAATCTCAGCCATTCACATCTTTGCAGCAAACCATGTGAAAGTGTCGGCCACCAACAATGCATCATCTTCTTTTCATCTTGGGGCCTTTGAACCAGGCAGGGGCTCTACAGTAAAACACGCTTGTCATTGAAATAGTCTTTTAAGGAATACTAATGCTAACCAGGAACCAAAGCCAGTGGTTTTGGTAGAAGTAGAAAAAAGTTTCATCCAAAACTTGACAATGCTAACTACCAGATTTTTCTAAGAGATCGATCATATCATAAGTTTATACTTCCCCCCATAACTTGGGACACAGAAAAGAGCTGTGCTGCTGCTTGCTACCAGAAAAGTACACACATCTCAATTCCTGACAAAGCCAAAACCATTTTATAAAAGAAAAAATAGGTGCCCATTCCATTCTCTATTACATTTCTTACTAGTATAATGATCTTTCTCTCTGTACTTGCAACCTTATAATATTACAACCTCGGAGAGTTTTCTCGTTTCCCGTTCAAAAGGGAAAAATAGAAAAACCTTTCAAAAGCTTTCATTCATTCATTCATTCATCCATCCAACCACAAAATAAAAAAGCCAAAAAAGTAAACACAGGCTTGTCGTTCATGATTTCCTCGTTCTCGTCTCATCTAGTCTCATCTTTCTTTTCTCCTTCTTCTTCTTCTTCTTCTTCTCCTCCTCTGAAAGGTTCCTGCTCGCTGCAAAAGCCATGACTTACAGCAGCAGTGATTTCCAAATGGAAAAGAGAAAAAGAAAGTTTGCGAAGACTCACTTGGACGAGCGCGGACCACCGCAATTTCTCTCTCTCGTGTGCGTGCACAACATCACTCGCTGTCGTCTCATTCCCCTGTTGTCTTCCTCCCCAAAGAACGAAGGCCTCGCCCACCTATTAAATCAATTCTCCCTTTTTTCGGTATTTGTCACTGAGCTGTCTGTAAGTCGCCCAGTCCTGTAGTCCAGTCCCGGCCTTCTCTTTTTTCCACTGTCGTTTTTTTCACTTTCAGTAGTACCCAGCGCCAGCCATTTCGTAGACCAGGAACTTGTTTGAAAAAAGAAATCATCCCCGCCCCCGTGAGGTGGTTTTCTTTCTTTTTCTTTTTTCTCGAAACGTACGTAGCCAGCCCCGCACGATGCTGTGATCTTCAGTAAGTAAAAGAGTGTCGCGTACCTCGTCGAGTTACGAGAAAGGATGCCGCTTTCTCTCAGAGCCTGGAAGGAATAAGTGGTGTGCTCTCTTGCAAGTATGCCTGCGCCGCAGAAACGCCGCTTCCCAGTTTTACCGGGAAGCCAACGTCCTTGAGTGCCATTTCTACTCCAGCCAGGGCAGAGATGAGTTGAAGCTGCGAGAGTGCATGATCCCCTTGAGGTCAGGAGGAAAGTGAGAGATGAGAAGACTTACTTCGTTTAAGAATCCCAAATGTCCGATGCGGAACACCTTTCCTGCCACCTTGTTCAGGCCGATTCCAATGCTCAAGTTGTATTTTCTCCAGGCTACGCGAACCACGTCTGTGCTGTTCAAGTAGGATGGAACCACGACGGCAGTCACCGTATCGCTGTACAGCTCTGGATCTTTGATGCAAAGCTCGAGGCCCCAAGCTTTCACAGCCAACCTGGTGGAAGCCAAAGAAACGCTCAGTATAATGCTAGACAGAGAGAAAAACAAAATCTCTTAGAACTATACCTGGTGGCATGAGCTAGCCTGTGGTGTCTCTTGATGACATTTTCCAGGCCTTCTTCAAATAGAAGATCGAGAGCTGCTCGGAGGCCGTAGAGCAACTGTATGGAAGGCGTGTATGGCCAGTAAGAGCCGAGCTCGTACGACTTGAGATAAGCTGACCAGTCGAAGAATCCCCGCGGAGAACGAGCAGACTTGGAGGCCTCGAGAGCTTTGGGACTGGCACAGAGGATACCGAGACCGGTTGGAAGACCGAGCGATTTTTGCGAGCCAGTCAGAGCAACATCGACTTTCCACTCGTCCATGCGAAACGCGAGTGCTCCAATCGACGAAACTCCGTCAACCAAAAGCAGAGCTGGATGCTGGTTTGAATCTGCTCCAAGACAAGAAGCAAGTAGAACAATTATCTTAGCCGTCTAAGAAAATCCCAGGAAAGCTTTGATCTTACCAAGTATGGCTCTCACAACTCCCAAGTTGATGTTGATACCGGTCGAAGTTTCGTTATGAACGACACACACCGCCTTGATCCGGTGCTCCTCGTCGGCTCTGAGCTTCGAATCGAGAACTCCCAAGTCGACTCCGCCTCCCCATTGGCACTGGACAGCGTCCACGTCGAAGTGGAGTTTCTGGAGCTGCTGGCTCCAGAGATGGCTAAACTGTCCAAACACGAATGTGAGAACGCGATCTCCAGTAGAGAGAGTGTTCACAGCAGCGCATTCCCAGCCTCCAGTTCCTGCCAGGAAGAAGAAGAAGAAGAAGAAAAGCCCAGAGTTAAAAAAACCTCTTAAGAAACTCCCAGAGAACACTATTCTCTAGATTAAACATACCGGTTGTGGGGATAATGAAGGGAGTCCCAGATTGCGTGGAAAAGATGCGCGTGACGTCCGCAAGGAGCTGCCGCGAGAAGACCGGGAATGCTGGCGATCGATGATCCTCATTGCCGCGATTCAGTGCTTGCATCACCTTTTGCGGGATATTGGATGGCCCCGGCACGAAGAGATGATTCCGCCCTGGCGCCATGAAGTAGTCCATGGAGCAAATCCGCCGCCAAGGAAGAAAGCCCGGCGCTTTCGATCGATCGGCCGAATGAGGCGCTAGAACCCTAACTTGGCTACTTCGCGAAAACACCGAATATGCTCGCGTGCGCGAACGATGGACTAGCAATCGAATTAAACTAATTAAACCAGATCACATCTAATACGCCATTTTGTGCGCTCTCTCTCTCTCTCTCTCTCTCTCTCTCTCTCTCTCTCTCCTACACACACACTTACACACACAACATCTTATGTAGTATTTTTTTTCATTCCCATAGAAAAAGATTGCGTAAAATCAATGCGCAGTGGCCTTTCCATGAAATGTTCTTTCTTCTCAATCAATGTTATTCGCTGAATCATAGTACAAGTTCTCTTTGGAGATCCATCCTTCACGCAAAAGTAAAAAAGAAAACTTAGAAGTTTAGATCAAAAGAACCACGAAGCTTGACTTATTCTCGTCAAAGAAACTAGCGCATTGTCTTGTCCAACTCACTTTCCCACACCTGGAGGATACTGTAAAGGAATATAAAACTAGCAAGAAATTTACCTTCGGACATATCAGCTTTGCGACAATGAGGAATCGTCCGGCGCAACGTACCATTCCAGTGGGAGGGGACCAATGGCTCAAAGAAATGGCTGGACTCCTGCTCAATCAGTCAAGGTGGAGAGTTTAGACGATGCAAATCCAACTACCAAGTGGTGGAGTGGCTCTACGCTGAAATTCGCAGGAGCAATCTCGGCAGTGGCACCAACACCAAAGTCGCGATTCGCAAGTGAGTGAAGGAGACACGGTCACATAATCGGGAACAGGGAGGCCTCGGAACATCTTCCCTCAGACTCGAAACATCAACCGGGGCGTGAAGCTCATCAATGACGCGGCAATGAAGAACACTGTGAAGGTGTGGTTCCGGTTTGAATATGGCAACGCGGCGAAGCCCTGTCGTCCCACAAAGTTTCCCTGCTACGTCGAGCTTGGAACCGGAGCCACCATCAACAATGACTTGACTAATGCTTGATATGAAAATCAGGTTTTCTTAAGTAGATATATTTGTATATAGCTTTGCTGGAGTGCCTGAAAAAGAGAAGAGAAAGAAAGAAAATAGATAAAAATGCATTCATGTATACAAATGAGTTACCAGCGTTTCCAATATCATTCTTTCTCCGTCGATGGAGCGGTAATGTTTGCTTTGAGCCACCTCGAAAGATTGGATAGAAACGGTGTATACGCAAAGTAGCAACATATGACCCAGGTAACAACACCCTGAAACATATTCACGTACTTGAAGGCTAGATGAGCACGACTGTTACCTCGTCAAAAATGAATATATTCGGATTCGAGTAGTGCCACAAATGAAACCACCTGTAGGTAGCAAAGCAAGATTTCGTGAAGTAGCCAACAAGACAAATTGAGTTTTTCTAACTGTTGAGCTTACTTGATGATGGGAATCTCCAAGGCAGGACACAACACACCAACAAGGCTCGCAAGAGCAAAGCCATGCACTGTGCCTTCAAATAAAGCCCAGTTGAGTTGAGCGCCGGCAAACAGTATATATGCTTCGATGTTGTAAGGCACATTTGCTCGGTATAATTGAGCGCTCAGCTCAAGATAGAGAACCAAATATCTGTAAAGGAAAAAAACTCTAAACTTCAGAAAAAATTGCAAGAAATTCCGACTTACACAAAACACAGAGCTAGCTTCTCAAAACTTGGAGGTCGAATCGGCCTGTTCCTAGCGAATTGCTCGTCAAGTGCTAGATGCAACAATCCAACAACACCATAGAACGTCCCAAGAATTGGAAACACCTGTTAGTGGATTTAACCCAGGAAGAAGAAAAGCAATGCTTTTAGCGAGCAGGAGTTGTCCAGTAGCTCATGTCCTACGTACCCAGAGATTGGTGCGAAGGGGCCCGATGTTGATTGCCCAATTGTCATAGACTTGGAGTTCAACGCTCGAATGAATGGCGTCTAGAAGAGGCCCGAGAATAAATCCCGCTCCAAACAGAGCGCCACCGATGACCCCCAAGCCTGCCAGAAACTGGGAACGCGACATCAAAAAGAGCTCCGTGACAGAGATTTTGGGAGATTTTCGAATAAATACCTCGATTGCTTGGAATCTTGTCGCTTCCTCCACTCGCATTGCACGCGGTGAGCCGGCTCCTGCCAAGCCGCGCTCGCTTGCTCGCCGCCGTGCGAGATATCCCTAGTACAAATCGAGGAGTCGCGCCATCGCAGCACAGCGCCACCGCCATCGCCATCGCCCAAGAACCCTAGCTCCTTCCCGCTACAAACAAGAGCATATTCCTCAGCCCGAGCCCTAAAGTCATGCGCCACGTGGCGGATACGAGGGTTTTGATTGGCTGCATGGAGCCAAGAGGGTTGTGGCTCCAAGGGCCCGCCCTCTCTTTCCGAGGGCCTTCCTTTCTCTTCTCTAAGTTTCTCGCCATTCACCAGCATTTTGGGGAGCGATCGAAGCAGCGCGGCTATGGCGTCGCTTCTTCTCCACGATCTGGCCAGCGCCACATTGATCTAGCGGACGGGGGCTATCGCTAAGTCTCTTTTGTCGGTAGAGGCGCGCGCCTTGTGGGATCACGAAGCAGCCGACGCGGAAGACGCAGTGAAGCTGCTGCCGATCGGTGGAAATCTCACCTTCGATCGAGCTTTCCGGCGAGGATCCGAGGTAAAAGAGAGGTAGATTTCTTGGATATTTCGGGCAGCGGTAGCGGAATGCTGGCATCGCAAGGCGGCATGTGGTGAGATTTCCAGGCTAGCTAGGCGCGCGCACGACGATGAAGCTCCCGAAATATTTGAGGAGGAAGAACGGATCTTCGTCAGCGTTTTCCAGCTCCAACGAGTCGAGATCATCCAAGTCGGCAATGGAGGGCGATCTCAAGGCCCCGCTCAGCAGATCCCAATCGGCCGAGATCTCCTCCGACTCCTCCTCCTCCTCCTCGGCTCACAGCAGCATGAACAAGCAGCAGCATCCTAGGCACATCCAGGAGCTCGAGCACGCCTTCCGCTACTTCGACGCCAACGGCGATGGCAAGATCTCGGTGGCGGAGCTCGGGGGAGTGCTCAAATCCCTGGGCGAGAACCCGAGCGAGGAGGACTTGAGAACGATGGTCCGGGAAGTTGACGCGGACGGGGATGGGTTCGTGGATTTCGACGAGTTTGTGCATCTCAACACGGAGATCTTGGGCGACGCGCTGGCCGCGAGCGTGGAGGAGCTCAAGGCCGCGTTCTACGTCTTCGACACGGACAAGAACGGCTACATTTCGGCGGAGGAGCTCTACAAGGTCATGTTTAACTTGGGGGAGAAGGGGGTGACAATGGAGGATTGCAACCGGATGATTGGGGGAGTCGACTCGGATGGCGATGGGTTTGTGAACTTCGAGGAGTTCCAAAGGATGATGTTGAGCAGCAGCAACGCTTCTCCCTCCACCGCATGATAGCGACGAAGCTTTTTTTCTTCTCCGCGCCAAGGTGAGAGCTCTCAAACCAAAATTCTCCCTTTTTCTTGTTGTTTTGTGCTTGTTTGTTTGCTTGTTGTTTCCGTTTTCGTGCGCGCTCTAATCACGATTTTTCTACAGAAAGTGGCTAACTTATTGCTCCGCTTTTCTGTAGGCCTAGCTCATCTATCAATCCATGATCACAAAACTTTGAAGCTCTCCCTCCCAAATCTTGGGGAACCTTTTAAGATCTCTTTAAACTTTGGCTCATCTCATCTCCTTTTTCCTTGAACCCTGCCTTTCTCTCGCAGTCTTCTAAAGTAATTTATAATGCAAGAAGCTCCCATGATCGATAATGGGGATTTTTAAAGCTCGTTTGTGGACGGTGTTTATTATAGGTGTTGGCCCGCGTAGCCCGGACAACTGTGATTGACAAACAATTGTCCTAGAAGGTACAAATCCTATCCTTTTCTTTCTACATTTTTTTCCCTTAAAAACTCTTTGCTTGTGCTATAGGTGCGCAAAGAGCGCTGATTTGTGACGAAAGCGAGTAACTTACTAGGTAAGCTTAAAGCTGCTGCCGCTGCTGTTGCGCGATTTCCAAAAGGTGACCGAAGAGATGTCATGGCATCTCTGTGACTTTTTTTCTTTTTTTTTTCCTAACGAAAATGCGTCTTTCCCAGGGAAAGAACTTGATGGGCGCTGGTTGCGCATTCATCACTGCCGTGTTTTTGACCAGTGCCGGCCTTGGAAGAAGCGTGACAAAAACGGGTGAAAGGTAGGTTTGGAGTTACTTCTCACACACCTGACTTACTCTTTCTCATTTGGCTGAAAGGAAAGCGTGCTCCGACTGACACGACGGGACGACTGTGGTGCAATCTTTTCTCTCCTCTTTTTCGCGGCAGGCACCAAAGCGGCGGTGGTCCAGTGAAAAGTTGGGAGTTCATTCTCGTTTTTTTGTTTTTGATGGAAACTCTCGGCGCAGATCTGGACGGAAACATTGATATTGGGCTCCAAGAGCGCGACAATTGCTCTGCGGCCTGGCATGGCCTGGCCTGGCCTGGCCTACACCGGACTGGAGAAAAAATCTGGCTTTCCAGTACGACAAGCTTGCCGTCCTTCGTGCTGCTTCGCGGAGCGCCAAAGTCAGAGCTACAATTTCTATCCATGGCTCGCCCCGCCGCGAGGAAAAAGACGTGCGTCTGAGGCGGGCGCTCACGCGGCTTCGAAGTTTCCAGCCGGGGGCCAAATAGATTTTTATTCTTCCTTTTCTTCTCTTTTCATCACCGACTTGCGAGAAAACGCGCTGCTGCTAAAACTCGTTCTTTTACTGGGCTTACTCGGCCTGCCGCGAAGAACAGAAGAACTCAGTTTTCATCCAAGCACGGAAATTGGGAGAAATTACCTCTTTCTTAAGAGATTGCTCCGCCCTAAACAATGCGGCCCTTGCCTGCGCGAGAATTGTCAATCTAGCAGCTGAAAATTTTCATGCCCTAACCTCGCGATCTTCTTTCATTTGCTGCTCCGGCCTGACCCAGAAGAAGTACACGGTGATCGCAGCTATAGACCAAGCTGCGACATTGGCGCGGCCGCGAACGCCACCTAAAAGATTGCCGAGAATTGCAGACACCGGCGTCCTCGGCATTGCAAGAACCCTAAAATTTAAAAAACCCTAAAATTTGAAGAACCCTAAAATGTGAAGAGCACTAAAGATCAAGACCGTTGATCAGTGGATATTTCTTCTTCACGGTGAGCACGTGCCGGGGATATCCTACGCGTATATCGGCTCGAAAGTCTTAGTCCTTAGCTCACGGACACTGTCTTTAGCATTCGCTTATATTTTCGCGTTCTAGGGTTCTAGAGCGCTCAATTTCTTCTTTTTAGGGCGGGATTTGGAGGGCGCTGCCGGCGATGCGCTGATGGCGGTGATGAATGCGTTGCGAATTGGCCAAATCCACGGCAGTGGCGTCCAATTCAAGAGAAATTTTCAGGTATTTCGCTCGCGTTATCAAAATGAGGGTATTTGATCGTGATCTTTCTCCAGAGCTGGGGACAAGCTCCATTCCAGCCAGGTCTGCGGTCGTCTAATTGCGCATGGGTAGGCCTCTCTTCTAGCTACATTTGTTCTAGCACGACATAGAATAAAGCTGTGGTTTTGCAGCTTTACAACCAGGATTTGTGGTGTGTCCATTTGTGGGCTAGCTTGAGAGCTGTTCCAAAATGTGCAATCAGCAAGCCCAATGTGGTATCTTCATGCCTCGGACTTACATCGACACGAAAGGATTTTCACCAAATCTTTTCTACTGCACTGGCAAAGTCAGATACATTTTTGTTTGGGCTCCCATAGAGGTATTGACACTCTTGTTTTCTTCTTCTTTGGCTGCTGTAGAGTGCTCAGTGTGTTGAAAGCGCATCCAGTTTTCTCGAGCTGTGCTCCTCCTCTGGCCATGATATTTTTCGCGGTGTATGGACTACTTCCGACGATAAAGATGATCCAGCAAGGCGTGTTTGGGGTAAGCTGGATGCCTGGTAGTGAAAGAGTTTTTGACTGTTCTTTTTCCAGAAGGAGAGCTGGCATAAATCTCAAACGGAACACATATTGGTAGCTTATGTGCGCCCCTTACTTATCTGGATGGGTGTTATCTCCATTTGCGGGTGATTTCTAGATTTTCTTTAGTGACGATCTTCTCATGATTTCGGTGTATAGGTCTATCGATCCTGTGGTCTTGTCATCTGGAGCGTCGCAGGCAATCAAAGATCGATCAATTAATTTTGTAAGGTCATTATCAACAGTCCTCGCGTTTGCGGTGTGTGCAACGAAGTAGGCTTTTTCTTCGCCATTGTATTATTTTTCTCATGCTTTGATTTTCATTTACCTTTTCAGCCTAACCGAAAAAGTTCAAAAGTCTTTGGAAACACCCGATTCGGATAAGGGCCGAAATGTATTGTGGTTATTTTTTCCGTTGCGGTATCTTATACGTGTGGTCTTTTATACTTCCAGCTCGGGATTCAATTCATCAGCAATGCTGTCCGGTCGTCTGTTTGGGTAGCAGCGGTCTGTCTTTTCATGGAACTTCTAGGATTTTCGACTCAAAAGTGGATCACGGCTGGAGGCCTTGGAACAGTTCTTGTTACGTTAGCAGGCAGAGAGGTGGGGAGTATTCAGTTGCTGTTTTTCTCAAAAGGAACTGACTGTGAAATGCTGACAGATTCTTACGAACTTTCTATCGAGTATTATGATTCATGCTACTCGACCTTTCATAGAAAATCAATGGATACAAACAAAATTTGAAGGCCAGGAGGTTTCCGGGACTGTTGAGGTATGTTGTCAAAGGACCTTGAAGGAAAATGTTACTAAAATTCGGCTTGCTAGCACGTCGGTTGGTGGTCTCCAACTGTCATTCGAGGTGATGACCGTGAAGCCGTCCATATTCCTAATCACAAGTTCACCGTGAGCGTCGTTAGGAACCTTAGTCAGAAAACACACTGGCGAATCAAAACGCACCTGGCCATCAGTCATTTAGACGCTGGAAAGATAGCCGTAAGTGTTGTTTTTACTCCACAGCATTTCAGGGACTCATTTTAGTGTCCTCTGGCAGCTCATCGTCGCGGACATGCGGAAAGTATTGGCGAAGCATTCTCAAGTTGAGCACAAGAGATTGCACAGACGCGTTTTCCTGGACTATGTTCACCCAGAGAGCCAGGCCTTACATGTAAGTACGATAGATGTTCTTGTTTGTCTTCGCCTAGTTACCATCCCTCAATCGTTTCAGGTTTTGGTGTCGTGCTTTGTCAAGACATCCCACTTCGAGGAGTACCTCCGAGTGAAGGTATTGGTCAGCTTTTCAGCAGTTCCATTTCCATTGTCTAATCGTTCACTTGGTAGGAGACGATATTGCTCGATATCCTAAAAGTAATCAGTCACCACAACGCACGGCTGGCGACTCCAATTCGCTCGATACATCGAGTTTCAGCAGACGAGCCGCAACAGGCTCCGGCCAGCAAGTACGACAGGCCACTTCTCATAAGTGAGAGCTCGGTGCTGTCGTCAGAGCATCCGCTAACCAGATCAAAGTCACAGTCCGAGATTGTGGCCGAGAACATCGACAAGAGTCAAGGCAATCCGGGTGAAGCAAAGCCTCAACTCGCGGGCCTGGATTCCATGGGCCTGAATTCGAAGGACATAACACTGCTAGGAGCGGCGTTCGGGAAATCTCACGCAAAGCTGCCGGTCGAGGGGGAAGAATCTCCTCAACCGAAACCGGCGGAGATAGATGGTGAAAATGCACAGGTTGTCCGAGGCAAGATCTACGTGCAGGACGATGCCAAAGAGCAGATTGTTGGCAGCGTAAGAGCAGTGAAAGGAGATGGAAACGGCAAGAAAGGCCTGCCGAGATCTTCGTCGGTAGAAGAGAACTTAGTTCTCGGCGTTGCTTTGGATGGATCAAAGAGGACATTGCCTCTCAATGGTCCAGAAACCAATACAGATGTTAAAAGGTTGTAAATAACACTTACAAAACAGAAAATCGCTCTTGTAGATTTCTGTGTAATTCATCAGAGTTCATGAAATAAGATATGATCAAAGAGATCCTACACAACTATATAAGCATCTATTTTTATTTTATTTTATCTTTAGAGAAGTTTGATTTTCTCGCCACAGCTCCAGGGGTGCTCTTGATTGCGGTTCTTTCGGACCTGGAAGGCCGCGGACAATTTCCCACACAGTCTCATGATCCTGGAGTTTCCTTTCTTTCCAAAAGCTCCCGAGAGGCTGCTCGATCGCTCGAGCTTGGCAACAGCTCCTCCACCCAGCAGTGCTTCCTCGAGCCTCCTGCTGAAAGAATTGAGCTCGTAAGCGTCGAGCAGATTGCTTCTCCTGTTGTCTACCACAATCTGGAGCTTCCCACTCTCTTCCAGAGCTTCAAAAGCTTCCATCCTAAACCGCGAAGTCGAAGCTCGAGCAGCACCTGCTGGTGCTGTCACTACAGCATGCTGAGAATCGGCGTTTCCGGCACCTCCTCCTCCTCGACCATACCATGCCCAAGCTGCGGCCTTTCTCTGCTCGATCAAGCCTGCATTCTCGTCTCCCGAGCTCCGCTCGTCTTTCACCTCGCACTGATCAAAGTAGCTGCTCCTTGCTGCTCCTACACGATTCATACGACCTGGGTGACCACATCAAACGCAAAAAATCAGAGTCGGATTTATCTTTCCGGCCTAGAAAACCAAAAGCTGTCTACGATTACGAAAGAAAAGGAGAAAAAGCCTACTAGACTGGATGAAGGTGATGTAAAACTTACGGGAAGGCCAGAAAAATCCCATGTGGTTCTCCTTTTTTTCCCAGCACTAGCCTGCGAATGATAGACAGCCTTTTGAGGCACGCGAAGCTAGCTGCAAAAACCGAGTTTTTCTAAGCGTGTAAACCGTAAAATAAGATAAACACAGCACAACCTTGGACACATTCCTGACTGTACTGCCTGTCGCGAGGATGGCCACTGCAGTGAAAGAAAAGAATTTTTAAGAAGCTGCTGCAAAAAACGAAGGAAAAAACAGACCTTGCTCGTCACCGCGTCATCCGGAAGAAATCTGCAACGTAAAAGACTGGACAAGGAAGAAAACGATAAACAAAAGTTAGAGAAAAATAAATAAATGGAGATGGAGCGTCCAGTTTAAGCAGCTGCGATGGTAGAAAAGATCTTCTTCTTTACTAGAAAATGTGGACAATGTCATAGACGAGCGTCCAAAAGAGCACGAAAGACATGAGCCCCTGGAGGAAACCATCGAAGGCCACGCGGTGCCACGAATCGAAGAAGGCGCTGGTGTTGAATCGGGTCTTGGCAGCGAGCCCAGCCGATGCGCACAGCATCACCAGGAAGTAGCAAAGGAATCCATACACACCGGTGAGCCCTAGAACGCCCGCGATGGCGCCCGCCACGATCGACAGGAACGTCCGGCAGTAGTAGGCGATCCTGAGATTGTGCTGCACATTTTCGGCGCTGAGAGCGAGCGAATCGAACGGATCATCGGCCTTCTTCGCGTCGGCAGCGTCGTGAGCCCGCGCCATTCCCCCAAAGCCCTAAAATCTATTAGCCCTAAATCTTGATCCAGGAGAATATACTTTATTTAAACTATCTACAAATGTTGGGTGTAAGATCGGCTAGGATGCTGCTAGAATTCGCTCTTGTGGCGGCTTTCTTTTCATATTTTCTAGCTCTTTCGCTTTTGTTTTCGCTTGTCTCTGGATCTCGCGACGAAGAAAATCTGGTAACGAGTTTTTTGATGGCCACTGGAGTCGGGCACTCCGATCTGTTGTTGAGGAAGCTAGAAATCTTCAAGAAATCACGAAAGGAGTCAGTTTTTTCATAGTGTTTTAGTCTAAGCTTAGATACCTTTCTTTGCAGGCTATGAATCTCTCGCTCCAGCTCCAGGGTCGTCTCGTCTTTACGCCTGGAAAAGTCTTCTAGAGCGGCCAATCTCTGCGAAAATCATAAAAGAGAATCGTCGCAAAGACAAAACAAGAGCGTTGCTTACTTGCGTTGCGGAAGAGCAGTGGCAACAGTGCTGTCCATTTGACGTCTTTCGAGCTCGATTCAATTGTTGCTGGAGGAATCTTTCTCGAGTTTCACTCGCTTGGACGCGCTCCCTTAGCATTGTCACCTCGGATTCCATGCCAGCAACCTGTTACAAGCATGCTTCCAAGTTCTAAACAGACAAAGAGAAAACGAAAGCAAACTTTTCGTAGTACCTGCGCAGCAGCTCTCTCGAGCTCGCTTAGAAGCTCGTCCGCAATCAAATCCACAGAGATCTCCTGCCTGGCACGTTGATCTTCCCCAAAAGCATCTACCGCATTTCGTATCGCCGAAACCATCTCCTTCCCCAGCAAATGCGACGAGGGCGACGTCTTGATCTTCGAAGGAGCTTCCAGAGGATCAAAAGAAATCCGCGCTTCCGGAAGGTCTTCGCAACCATCTTCTTCCATCATCGATCGCGAAGCTGGCGCGATCACTCCCATTCCAATGCAAAATTCTCGCACTTCTTCCTGTGGAAAGAGTCCCCTCGGCGAAATTCCTTGCTGAAAGAAAGGGCATACCTCGATCGACGCCTCATCCTCTTCCGGATCGCGGAGCAGCGGGATCCAGTCCTCCCCGCGATCGCGTCGATTAGCCGCCGCCTCGGAGGAGCGCAGCCTCAATTCGGGACCAGACCTCGCAACCCTGCCCTGCGCAACAGTACCTCGATCGCCGAGTCCCAGCGCCTGCCGATTCGATCGATGGCAACGCTGCCGGACGCGGCAGTGGATCATCCCTATCTATGGCGGCCGAGCCGATGATCCACCGCGGACACATTCAAGAAAGAAGAACTTTCTTCCACAAAGGAGCCGTTCGTGAAGATTCGAGCATATTCGCGTTGTGCTAAGAATATTTTCTGCCAGGATTCGAGACCGCGACCTCGTGCTAAGCCGTAATCTTTTTTAAGGGGGTCTTCTTCTTCTTCTCGCGTAGACCGACCGAGCTATGGAGGAAGTCAGGATCGTTTCCGTGCAAATGGTTGCGCCGGCAGAGCCGCCCAATCCCTCCTCCTTTCGCGAATCGATCAAGCTTACACTCTACGATCGAGCAATGCGCTTTGCTCTCTACCAGAAGAGGATCCTCTTCTACAATCCGGTGGAGCCGTCCAGCATCGATTGCCACATCCAATCTCTCAAGGGCAGCCTCGCCCAAGCGCTTGTGAGCTTCTATCCTCTCGCCGGTAGGCTCTCGAGCTCCTCTCTCGAGATCGATTGCTCCACGCTCTCGGTCCAGTTCACGGAGGCAGTGACCGATGCAACGCTGGGCGATCTCGCCATCCGGCCCTCGAGTTTCTGTGACAAGCTTTGCGACATGGGATCTTCTCCAGCTTGGCCATGGAGCCCAGATTTGCCACTACTATTCGCACAGGTAAGCTTAGATCCTCGGAGTTCTCCACAAGTTCTCCGGAGTTTCCGGAAGAATGTACTTCCGGAGAACCTTCCTTGACTCTTCGTTTTCACACACGGTTTTTCCTTGACCAGGTGACGAGATTTGCCGATGGTGGGATCAGCGTCGCGATCGCTTTCAGCCACCAAGTTTGCGACGGCGTTAGCGGATGGCACTTCTTCAATTCCTGGGCTCAAATCGCTCGAGATGGTGTCTTGCGAAATCCGCCAGTGGTTTCATACGAAGTGGAAGAACAAGACATGGAGCTCGAGGAAGCATTCGAGGTCGCAGCGTCCATAGGCTACAAAGTCAAGAAATCAGCGTCATCACCCCGGGATCTCTCCAAACTACGCGAATCAATCTCCTCGAGGTCTATGCCGCAGCAGCTGGACGTCAGGCTCTTCCGCCTGGATCAGAGCCACATCTCCGAGCTCAAATCCAGATGCCTGGAAGAAACTCGCGCCAGCTTCTCCAGCTATGAAGTCGTGTGCGCGTACTTTTGGACGCTAACCGCGCGCCATCGCGGCTTGCGCCCGGATCAAGAGGCCGCGATCGCGATTCTTTTCGACAGCCGGGGAAGGTTCGCCAAAGTCCCAGAGTTTTACTTGGGAAACGCCATCGCCACCGCGATCGTGAGCGCTCGAGTCGAGGATCTGACGTCCAAGGGGATTGGTTACGCCGCTGGCCTCTTGCACGACGCCATCGTGAGCATGGACGAGAAGAAGAACCAAGCCCAGCTCAAGTTCATGAATCACGTCATGCAAACCGGATTCATCACAGAGATGGAGATCGATCAAGCGTCTTTCAGCCTTGTGGTGAGCTCTCCCCGGCATCCGGTCTACGAGACGGACTTTGGATTTGGAAGGCCAGCCGGTGTCACGTTTGGAACCAACGATTTGAGCGACGGCAAGATCTATCTCTTTCCATCGCCCGCTGGAAACCGGGGTGTGGAAGTGACTGTGGTTCTTCATCCAGAGAGATTCACAGTAGAACTAGCATTAGACGTAGAGAGTATTGGCTTCCCGCAGGATATTCTTGCAAATTCCCTTAAATTAATTAAATGAAAGACTTTTAACTTTTAAAAAGTTCACACCATTCGAAAATTAATCCAATATCGGGCTTGATTCCTTGAGAAAGTTGCTTAATTTTTTTTTTCATCCTTCATCCTCGAGCTTTGGAAACAAATGTCATCATAGACTTATATGCTATTGTTTCGAATTACGCTGTGTGATCTTCACAACGTGTGAACCATATCTTGGATCCATATCAATGGATTGGAGATTGTTAACGATGCAAGATCCTTTGGTAGATCATTCCCTGTGATGAAAGCTACTTCCCGGAGCCTCTGTATGGCTCTCGCCATCTTCGAGTTTGCGACAAGGTGCCATGGAGACTCCAGCAAGTTGGGAGAGAGGAGCAGCGCGTATGCCACGGCCAGCGTCCCGGAGAAGACGTCCAACTGAATCGACCAGTTGCTCCGCAGCAAGAAGATTGCAAGAGAGGAAAGAGCGGTGGTGCCAGCGAAAGTGGGCAGAACGATCGACCAGGCATAGCTGAAGATCCAAGGATCATTGAACTCGAGCATGAGCTGCCAGGCCATGTTGAGCACGCCCACGAAGCACAAGCTTGCCTTGGACAGTTCAATCGTGGGATTTGTCCATGCCATCGAAAGGATTCCAGTCAGACCAGAGGCGAGCATGATGAGAGTGTAGATGGTGTTGAAGTTGATGCCCCAGATTACCGCTAGCATCTCACCTGTGGAAACAAGATGATCCTTTGAGTGCTCTAGCTAGAGACGGTGATGCAAAGAAACTTACAGAAGATCAAAGGGACTAGTGTGAGGAAGAACTGGAGATCAAGGCCCTGTTTATCTGGATTGCCTTCAAGATTGAGGATCGCCAAGATGCTGAGAAGAGATTGGAAAACAAGTGGCCAATAGCCCAGCCCGTAGAAGAAACTTTGCCACTTGAACAGCCACTGGTGATTGCTCCACCGCTGCAAGATCTCCTCTAGACTATACTCACCACTCACCATGGGCAAAGCCATTGTCCTTCCTTTTGAAACCCTAACTCAGAAATCTCAACAATCCTTAAAATGAATTAGAAAAAGAATATATTTAATTGTGTTAGATTCTCAATATATAATTTAAATTGTTTTATATCAGAATAAATTTTAATGAAAAGAAATTGAGGGGTTTTAAAATGTAAAAAATAAATTAAAATATTGTCAATGGAAAATAAAATAAAATTAATGGTTTCATTAATTTATAAAAAGAAAAATTAATTTTTGAGTGTTAAAAGATTAAATATTATGATGCAAAACTATGTTTAAGTATCAAAAATTTATTATAGACTTAAGAATCCATTCTAGGTTTAACAACATTCTAGGTCTAACAAGTTCAACAACAAAATAAAGAAAAAACCCTTTCTTTTGTAGTCCTTTTTTTAAGAATTCTTTTTATGAATATCTAGGATAAAATTTTAATGATCAAGTTTTGGATATTCATTAGCACTTACAAATATTATTTTCAGTGTTTAATATTAAATATATTCAAGTTGAATAAAGAAACTAATAAAATTAAATTATTAATTTTAAAAGTAAATTTCATTAAATTAATTAAATTTATATGTATGTATGTATGTTTAAAATTTAAGTTTTTAATAATTTGTATAAAGAAAAACAAGAAATATATTTTTTGAAAACATCATATTTACTTTATATTAATATTAAATTATTTTTATATTAAATTTTAAATGTAGCAACGCTTGGTTTGCTTAATGGTAATTTTATTATTACTTATTAATCTAATTGATCAAATAAAGTTTATAATTATAAGCATGTTGGTAATTTATAAACACAAGATTAATCTTATTGCATATCAACCATTAGATAATAGAATAAAAAAGAATATACTAGAAAGGGTTTAGGAAAGTTTATAAATTATAAACATGTTTATAAATTATAAATACCAGATTAATCTAAATGAATACCAACCATTAGATGGTAGAATATCCCAGAATATTCAAGCATATTCTAGGTATATTCACTACCATCCCAGTCCCCCTAGAGGTTTGCTTAAGCAAACCAAAAAGCTACAAAATAACTTATCAAATCTTTCATGAATAAATTATTTTTAATGCTAAATTGATAAAAAATATTTTTGAATATTCTTAAATATTTTCAAGCAAACAAAGGACATTGTCTTGTGTAACGGCAGGACAAACACAGATAAGCATTTATTAATCCTAGGCGTATAAGGTAGTATGTACATAAACAAATACGAGGCGCAACTATTTCTCTCCAAACCACTGGTTGAGAGTCTCCATGACAACGTCGCCCTTGATCACGGGATTGTCCGGCAGTAGAGGCAAGCTGTTGTCAGGCTTCTCCAAGCGCTCCACCACAACCGGCGCGGCAGGGACGCTCTCCCACCAGGCCTTGAGTCGAGCGAGAAACTCACGCACCATTGGCCTCCGGAACTTGAGCTCCATGGTGAACTGATCCAGGACAAGGAGGGCCACGATGATCTGGAATGGCAGCGTCACGAGAAGGCCAGCGGCAGCGATCACGGAGAGCAAAGCCAAGTTGGTCGCCTGGAAAACTCAAACCAAGATCAACCAAATGAAAGAGAAGTTAAGAGACTACCTTTGGATTGCTGGACAGAGCGATCGTCCGGAGCTTCAAGAGAGCTACGTTGACGTTCTGGAGGAACGTCTCCAGTTGAGCCAGAGCTTCCTTCAGGGATATTATCTTTTGGAGTGTGTTGGAGGGAGGTTGTTCCTGGATTGTAACTTTTCCAAAGTCCGGCTCTACGTGTCCACTGGCTCTCAAACCTCGCAGTGCCAAAACTCCGATGCTACTGATAAGTAAAACACTGGGAAAAACGTAGCGCAGCCATCTCCTACAAAAGATATATAGTTAAAAATGAACGAGAAGAGTTCTTCCAAGTGCTTACAAGTATAAGGCACCATAGAAGCACGCCAAGAACGCCAGTGTCTTTGGTGGCTCCTTCCATTCTTTAAGTTTCTTAAGCTCCATCACCATCGCTAGCAAAGGGGACATAAGTTCCTGCCAAAACAAAAACACGACACTAAAACTTCCACCGCTAGAAAAGGTTGCGTACCTTGAAAAGATCAATGTTTTCTGGAATTCCTGCGATTATAGCCCCGTCAATGGTTGCTTTCGTCAACTCAAGCTCCCTGTTTTGCTCCTTGCATTCCCCCACTGCCCTCTCCAGCTGACTCAAGCCTCCAACTACGTGATTCTTTCCCAGAACCATGCCTCCTCCTCCCAGTCTTTGCCTCCAAAATGCTATGGACTCTGCGCGGTTCCACGTCTCTGAGTCCATCCATTTTCGAAAGTAGATGCTACCATCCGTGCCAACTATATAGCCGCTTGAAGTGAGTTCGTTGTTTTTCGAGACCTGCGAGTTCTCGTAAGAGCTTAGCTCCATCCTACCACCCCAAAAGTCTACTGCCAGCGATTGAAGCACCAAGAACCCAGCTGCTGTCCTCGAAACATATGAATACTGGAGAAGTTTCTCTGGATGCTCCGGTGCTTTCTTTAAGGTAGCTTGCAAAGCTTGAAACCTTGCTATCCCAAGCAGCGCACTGTTTATGGCCCTTCTCCTTCCAGTCTTGGAGACGTAAGCGTATTCTGGAGAAGTTTCGCTCGTCTTTGGAGCATACTCTCGAATAAACCTGTGCACCATCATCATTTCTAGAATGAACAGGTACCAAATTTCCCGGCGACCTCTACCTGTGAAGTCGACAAATTCCAGCACCCATGGATCGTCCCTGCAAGATAGCATTCAAAGTACAGATATTACACATCGCTTAAGTCAAAAACGTTCTCAAAACGTACTCCGAGCTCGAAGAAATCGAAATTGCAGAATCAAAGAGCTCCATCCCGAGGGGCCCAACTCTCCTACGTTCAATTTTAGCCTCGGGTCCATCAAAACTGAGACGCAGTGTTTGTTTATCCTGGAAAGCAATCCTGAAAGGCTATGCAATACATAAAAGTCAGAAGGACTAATGCTGGAAGAAAAAGAAACCAAGCTAAACCTCGAAATAGAGAGCACGATCCGTCATAGTCAAATTTCCAGGCCACGCCATCCCATTATCCCATTTCTGTACAGGTTGCCTCCGGCTAGCTCCAATACAAATAAGACTTTCGTCACGATCGAGCTCTAAGTTACATTCCTGACGAAAAATGTGTCGACCATTTACAACACTGAATTTAGAGAAAACATAAAACTTAAAACAGAATCGAAGAAAAAAAACAAAAAGGTTTTGACACTCACCCGCACAGCTCGCAAAGATATCTATCCCAAGTGTCAAACGACAAACCATCTTTGTCGCCAGTAAGAGCTTTAAACAGGTGGTGCGCCGTGGCTACGTCGGCAGCTCCAGGTACGGAGGGCGCGATTCTTGCAAACGCTGGTTCTTGTACAAGTGTCTGCACCAAAAGGAGTTTTGGAGACGGAAAAAAAAAATGAAAAGAAGGCTTACTTGAATTTTTTCTTGAGCTTCCATGTAAGGTTGCTGCCATGCCAGCATTGTTATAAAGGTGAGACGTCGAAACGCAGCATCCTGGAGAAGGAGAGAGCGATGACAAACAAACGCTTTCACAAAGTTATTGACAAGTTCTACCTTTAAGTTTGGTATGAAATCTCCAGAGCCTCTTCCCAGGAACCGAAAGCAGCAAAACTCGAGTAAGTTTCGTGCTTCGTTTTGCACAGAAACTGGAGCATATCTTTCGAAATGTTCTCTCATCCTCCTGCCTGTCACTCCACTCAATCTTTTTTTTTCCCCGCGGAGAAGGAAAGAAAAAACCGTCATTGGATTCTCATCGATCGATCGAACTAGAACACTTACCGACTGAATTGCTCAATCGCATTGATCGCAGCAGTAGAAAGCTCGCCTCTAGGCGTTTTACTGTCCACTGTTTGCTCCTTAACACTAAACGCCTCTAGCAGCTGTCGTTGCTCGTCAATTCCACCATCGTCCCTCACATTCTGATCGCCTTGCCAGAACGCACTGATGACTGCGCCAGAATCGAGAGCTAGAAGCCAAGAAATCTCACAATATCATACCATTCCGCCTCGAGCAATGCCTCAATCGTCGAAACGCCGCCTTGCGACCGCAGCAGCAGAGATTCAGCTGGAAGAATGCGCCGCGATTGACTGGAAGAAGCCAGGAACTCATCCCCGGCGCCCAGACACATCCCTCCATTTTTCCTTGTTCTTCGCTAGGGTAGAAAACGAATATGCCACCTCCACATACTTTATTCCACGTAGTTTCCACGTGGGCACTGTACAAAGCCCTTATCTCCAGCCGTTGGATAAATCCTCTAAATTTGTGAAAAGTATTTACTTAATCCCTTCAGCTCAAAATCTTAAACTGTTGGTTGGGGAGAAGAAATTTGGAGCAAATAATAAGAGGGAAAATTACTATTTCTCCCCTCTTTCTTGTGATAAAACATTTACAAAGTATTATTTTATATTGTTTAAACGGATAAGAATTGGAGTAAGTGTTAAAGGAAAAGTGATTTTAAGGAAGCCCTAAATAAAATGTTGATAAAAGTTTGCAAAGCTAAATAAACAATGTTCTGGAATTAAAAGTTCTGTGCATAGCATACTGAGCAACCACTTGGAAGCTTTTCAAAAGCAGTGATGAACTATCTTGTTCCCAGGCATTTCTCTGCATCAATCCTTTCAACAGCTCTTTGATTGCACATGAGGTTTGTGATTGGGATCCTTTAAGTAGCAAAATTAAGTGGCTATATAATTTTAAACACACGATTAAGAGCTTGGCCACAAAAGATGTTTCATCCTGCTTATTGTGCTCGAGGAAGCATGCCTTAAACTCCTCATCGTCAATGCGTGCTGCACTGACTAGTGCCAAGAGCTAGAGAAACACAGTGTGCCTTCCTGCCAGTGCTCAAAAACTTGTTCAGTGTTCACAGTAACACAAGATTGGTGGAATTTTGTCTCTTTTTGTGAATCTAGTGTTAAAGATAAGTGCACTCAGTGCGCAATCTTTGCACATGTGCATGTGAGTGAATAACTAGGTACAAAGCTCTCCACGTACCACGCTTGGATTGTCTCGAACAGCGCTCCGCCCTCCACACACTGCAATCAACTGTACCTGAAGCAGGAGATGACGTCCCTCGTGGCATCCACGGTTTCTCTCAAGCCCGGGGGCACAAGCTTGAATAGGCGATCCTCCTCCCTGCTGTAGACTTCAAGGAAACAAGGCTCATTCGAGATAAAAGGGAACTACTTCAACTGCTGACGGATCGCAGCTCTGTCTGCTCGTGAGACAGAGAAACAAAACAGAGTGGTCGCCAACTTTGTGGAAAACAGCATCTATATCTGCCCTACGTCCGAGTGTACAGGACTAGACACAGTCGACAAAATAGAATGTTAGCAAATGACGATGCTAGGCTGCTGCTAAGAGTTGTGCTCGATCGTATGTGCTTGTCCAGGGCAGGAGAAAGATCAATGCAGGTAATTTAGTCTGTTTATCATCGTTTCTTGTTCTCTTACTCATCACAGATCCAAGCAAGTAAGTGTCATTGATTGCTTGAAAAAGTCAGGTATTCGTGAGCTCCCGGTCAATCTTTGGATGAGGGATTTCGTGGACAAAACCAACAAGTCAAAAGCCAACAAGGCTGCATCCGCTCGACTAGACATCGATGTCGTATGTGCGGCGAGCCAGGAGCTTGAACATGAAAGATGTTTCACTCTGCTTGGTGTACTCGAGGAACTCTGCCTTGACGTCCTCTTCGTCCTCGTCGTCAATGCGAGCCAGGCGTGCTGCCTCCTTTTCCGGTGAACTCTTGCGCGAGCCCACGAAACACACATCCTCGCCATGTAACAGCCGCGGCTCTCTGGCTCATAATCCATTGGCGTCACGTAATACACCTTCGTCTCCGGGTCGCTGCGCACGCCCAAGTGGTTGCCCGATGCGCGCTGCCTCTGCAGGACGTGGAACGTGGAGGGAGGGTGGCCATGCAGCTGCCGCATGGCTGGAGCGGCCCCCTTACGGATCGCCTCGTCTGTGAAAAATAAACTGAAAAATCGAGAATGCTGAAGGATCACAAGATCGGCTTCTCTCGACAAGTTCGACAGGAAGCTCCGGGTTGCTCAACCACAGCCGCGCATCTAACACGGCAGACGTTCTCCTCGTGCGTAAGGTAAGGGCACACCGTAATAAGAGAAGCAAGCCTTCCGCCATCACTCAGATCTACCAGGAGCTGCTCCAGATCCTTGCAGTTACAGTGGTTTGTGTGGGTAGTTTCAACTCCGATGGCTTGCAGCGCGGGATGTCATTAAGAAAGAAATCCAGCTTTGAGGACCACCACCCCTCCACGGCCTTCGGACGTTCCTTTAACAGCAGAGAGAGAAAAACAGTGTGTACCTTGGGGTATTCCTCCTAGGTACGTATTTCTCCACGTACCACGCTTCGATTGTCTCAAACAGAGCTCCACCCTAACAACTGTACCTGCACGGCTTCTCTCAAGCCGTCCATTAGCCAGCCCTAAAAGACAAGATTAAGTATTTACTTAATCACTTCAGCTGAATCTTAAGCCGTTGGTCATTTATACACACAACCCTTGAAACCTGCGAAGACAAGAAATTTGGAGCAAAAGAGAAGAGGGCAAATCTCTTTGATTTCTCCCCTCTTTTGTTTTTCCTCTTGGCGATGTCTTGCTCGTGCTGTTGCTGTACGTGCTCGTATTCAACGCTGGAATGGTGCACAGCTCCACTTTGGAAGATTTATTGCATCCTTCGCTACTTTGAGAAGGAGCTGATGCATCAAATCTTTGTCATTGGCCTCTTTAGAAACTGGTAAGCTTCCTTTCTTCGAGATTGTCCTGGAAAAAGAAAACAAAATGGTTTTCTCAGGAGACAAAGAGGCGTTCGATCGGAGCAAAACCTAGCAGAGATTGAGAACCTTGGGCCGATCACGCTCACTTTGGACAATCAGCCTTTCACCTGTCAAGATGGATCATGGTCTGCTGGTAAAACTCAATCCGTTACCTCTCTCGAGAATGGAAGTACAAGTCTTAGTTGTGCTCGATCCAGGTCCTGGAATCCCGAGAACAGCGATGGGAATCCATCGAGAGATTGATGTCTTGAGGCGTGAAAGGAAACACCTGGTAAAACTCGAAATAAAAACACAAAACAAAACTCGTAAGTAGCTCCAAAAACTTACAGTTCTTGGATTTGTAGAAGAGAGAGGTGGCCAAGTACGCAAGGAAAACAGAAGAGCTCAAAGGCATGAAGGATAAGATCAACATGCTGGACTTCAAGTACCAGCTTCTTCTCGACATGGTAAGAACTTAAGCTCGCTGGAGTTAGAAGGAAACTTTTCTGAATAAATGGATTTGATCAATCGATTGATTGATTGAGCAGTGGACCACGAAAGTCATGGGTGGTGAGAATGGAGGCGGTTCTCCGAGAAGAGGCCTCAGTAGGACACCATCACCACGAAAGAGTCCGAAGAACACTCCACAGCGGAGTCGCAGCCGATAAAAATCTGTTACTACCTGTGAAGATCGTCAAGAACAAACATTGCTCCAAAAACGCGTTTACCTGTCTTAGAGATTAGTCTTTCTCAATTGGAGTTGACGACTTCAGATGTTGCTCAAGACCTCCGCCACAACCAAGGCCTGCTTTGCAGTCGGATGGACAATGAAATCCCTAGAAAACAGGAAACAAATGTTTTGGAGAACTTTGATTTAGGCATAGCATACCGAGGAACCGCTTGAAGCTTTTCAAAAGCAGCGATGAACAGTCCTGCAATCGAAGAGCCGTCGGAAGGATTGCTGCAGAGAATTGCCTGGAAAAAGAAAAGAAAAAGAAAAAGAAAAAGAAATTGTTTTGCAAAATTGAGAAACAAAACAGCGATACCTGAAACGCGTGAGCAAGCAGCAATTGTGATTGTGATTCTTTGAGTAAGACCTGCGCAGTTCGATCATCGAAGCGTTGCAGCAAGACTTTGAAGGATGAAAAATCTATAGGTGGCCGCTACAAAAAGATAAAAACGTTCGAACTCTTCCAATCATAAGTTACAGAAAGAAAACCACATACCCTTGAGGAAAATAGCTTAACAAAACACTCCATTACGAATTGGAGCTTCTGCTCGGGTTTCTGGATTGCCTTATGAAATAAAAACATCGTCGATATTTAAAAGCATGTAAATAGATAAACACACCTCCAAGAAAATAGGCATTTTTTCACCGTTATTCTTGAACAGTTTGTCCACTAACTGGTCGATATAATCCTTCGTTAAGCTGACAAAGGTAAAGATTATCGCACCATTATAAACAACGATTCTCACCTCGTTTTCAGTTCATCAAGGTGAAATAGCTTGTGAAAACAATAAGAGACGTTATTACAACAAGGTCACAGAAAAACTTACCAGAGATATCAACGCTTGGGTCGATTTATAAATGATGTCGAAGTACTGGAGACTACTATTGTTCTCTGTCACTCCCTCCAAACTAAAATGTAGCAACTCCAGGAGGATCTTATCAAAGGAAGAATTTCCACCGCACATCTCCAACTGCTTATAAACGCAAAACCTCTCCATATTTGCACCTGCGAGATCTTCAAACTTTTAGCTTCTACCCTTTCTTAAAAAAACACATACCATCGAAGGTTGCCCGTGTCTGCTCAAAATCTTTGACCAACTGATCAATGAAGTGCCGAAACACAAGTGTTTTCACCGGAAACTGAAACTCCATTGTAAAGAAAAGCATGTAAGGAGAAAATAACAGAAAGAAATAAATAAAATTTCACTTACGGCGCGGATTGGAGACTCTTTAACCATTAAATCTCTGGCAAGCGATGACAGATTCTAGAAGGCATCCGTCAGAACATGGAGAAAAGGAAAATTAAATAAATAAATGGTGAATTGAGTTACCAAGGAGGTAATGCAGGAAACATTTTTGTAAGGGACTTCCGACGCGTAAGATATGACTACCTGTGAAAAAGAAAAGGAAGAAAGATAGATTGATCAGTATGGTCGAAGAGGTTACCTCGTCTAAGTCTTTCAAAAGTCTGTAGCTCGCCATTGCCACCTCCATGGATTTGCTTTCTCGCAAACACGAGTAGACAGCTCTGTAGATGCTCCTAGAAATCCAAAACTTAGAAAAGTTTTTCTTTCTTTTCTCTTTTCTTTGCTTACTTGCTTGGCCTGGCTTGCTCGGGCATCACAAACTCCTCAAAA